CGATCTACATACTTGGAGTCGGGAAACGCTAAAGGGGCCAAAGGTGAGAATTAGAAAATTTAAACAAGAGTTGGAGAGACTAAGGTGTGGCCCATTGAATACGGAATCTCGATGTCGTCAGAAGGAAATTATTGTGGTAACTGAAAATATTTTCGAGCAAGAGGAAATATTCTGGTTATAGAGAGGACGGGAAAATTGGTTGATGCACGGGGATCACGTCATTCTTTCGTAATGCTGCCACAACCAGGAAAAAAAGAAATAATATAAAGAAACTATTAGACGAGTCTGGAAACTGGTTAACAAATAAGAAATTGACGAATCACATTACTGGATATTTTACAAAGCTTTTTTACATCGGAATTTCAACACCCGAATCAAGATGTTTTATCACTTGTCCGAAAGAGAGTGTCAAACGAAATGAATGATGTTTTATCACTTGATTCTTTATCACATCATATAGAACTACTATTAGAAGATCTCTTCTCTTCCGAATCTAACATCAGTTGCAACAATTCGATAGACAGCTTACTATCTCGCATGGCTCTAGAAAATGACTCGAATTTCTGTCAATGATAGTAGAAATAGGGATTAACACGGAAAACAAATAAGTTGTTTTTTAAGCAGTGGGAAGCAAGAGGCAGCAAGTTTGTCGGGAGAGGATTCGGGATTAACTACCCAAAAAATCTTCGTACATTAATAATCCTCTTGTATGTGGCGCCCTTCATCGGAATCAGGCAACCTCTTGTAATTGCTATCTCCGAAACTGATTGGGGTCTATCTAACATCAGGCAACCTAGGGTGCACTTTTCCTGTTCCTTGATGTCTTTTCCTTTTCCACTGGTTGGGGTCTTCGTCGCACCCATCCGAGAATCCCGTTTCACATAATGATTCGCTTTACTGGATACGGATGAACTAGAGCCCTAGGGATGCCCAGATAGCCATCCGGCAAGGGCCAGACTTGCGCCACCTCAGCGATCCGTGGAACCGCAGACCCTCTCTTCTTGCAAGGCCATGGCTATATATACTAGAAATGGTGATTCATCCGCGTGCGGGGTGCGCGTGCGACTTAGGACTTGGGCGAGGGCGAGGAAGGACACCACTATGAGGAAACTAACTAAGCGCCTCCTCACCATTCTCTCTCCGATAGGTGGCCCAACAAGAAGGAAGGAAGGAAGCAGGAGCATGATGGTCGTTGGCGGCGAGCCCGACGCTGAGGACGAGAGGATGAGGAGCCCTGCCGCTAGCGAGGTGCAGATGAAGCGCTGGCCGGAAGCGGCAGAGGGTCACTGGCTTTGCTCCAATTGCGAGGCGCCGATTAGATGAGCGTGGTTCATCTGACTGTTGGCGGACCCGCAGAGGGACGTACGTCTGGCTCTGGGTCTGGCTGCTCCGAGGTGAGCCAGGCAGACCTAGCACGATCCAGAGAGAGAGAGAGAGAGAGAGAGAGAGAGAGAGAGAGGAGTGTGAGATCCGAACAGCTCCGTGTCGTTGCAGCTGCTGCTCTCTGATCCCTCTCTCCCGTTCGCTCTGAAGCTCCTTGACTGTTGGCAGCGTTTTCTTCTCTCTGTGTGTCTTTATTTGCAGTCTTTTAGTTACAGCCAACACAAGGAGCTATTCTAATTCTATTCTACCGGCCAAGATGGACACACTGTAAGTTTTTTTTAAAGCAAGTGCAACCAAGTGCAGATTGCAAACCAGTCAACTAAAAGCTTTAACTGCAACTTGTTGGCTGAGAGATGCAATGCTAGTGTCATGCTAGGCATATTCTTTGTTTCTGAAATAAAAGCATTAGCTTAGTAAACGCAAAGTAGATAAGCTTCCAATGGAGAATGAACAAGTAAACCTGAAAAAAAAAAGGCTATGGATGCTTACTCAACATGAAAAGAAAATATCATCAGATTGGAGTGACATTTCAGGCTCCTAGCTGAACCAAGCCTGATTTATATGCAATATTACCTTGACCAAATCAAAGAGAATGCTCTAATATGCAACATTCTCGTGGTTCAGTTCAGTAACCACCTAGGGAAAACACAGACGTCCCCCCTTGATTGAAGCAGAGAGGAAGCAGAAGGAAGAGGGAGAATGAGATCTGTGCGGATGGCAGCGGTGGAAAGGCCTGACGGCTGTAAATACGGGTGGCCACACAATGGTCTCTCCCTCCCTAACCTTTTTCTCTCCGATCCGTCAGAAATCCACTTCCGTTGCTAGAGAGCTGCGGATGAAAGTGACGGAGATGAAAGCCAGTGGCCAGCGGGCCATGGCGACGGCAGCACGCCATCTCTCCTTCAGCGCCTTTTTTCTTCCACAGTAGCGAGTAGCAAAGGAAGCCCCTGCCAAACAATAATCCCATAGAAACACTTGGGAGCAACGCCCCCTCTGTATAGACCAGATGCGATTGTTTCCCCCCTCCAGGTGGCGGTGATGGCGCCGTCCGTGAGGGGGGTCACACATGCTACATGTAAGTTAATAAAATAATAATACATAAAAAATTATATATGAAACGCAAAAAAAAATATAACTATGCCGACGGTAAAGCTGTCGGCATAGCTGCGGCCAGGGCAGATGGTCGGCACGTCGCGGATCGAGGACGTGGTGTCTATGCCGACGGCAGCCGTCGGCATAGATGTTGGTTGGTGCGCTTCGGATCGATGACATGGCACGCGTATCTATGCCGACGGCCGCCTGTCTCTGCCTCACAAAGCCTCAGGAAAGAAGCACCATGCTCCCAATTTGATTAACGGATCGACAAACTTGTATGCTCACAAAGCGTCAGGAAAGAAGCACCATGCTCCCAATTTGATTAACGGATCAGCTTCCCGCTTCCAATCTACCTGCCGCATCATCTGCCCAAACCTGCAGCCTTGTCCTGCTTGCCATAGATGAGAAACCACTCGCCCTCATGGTCACTGGATGTTGGGCGTTTCCGGCCGCCGAACTCGGACACTGGAACCAATCATTGAGCATAAAGCAGAAGAGGCTTAGATTCTGAAGCGAAGAACATTGGGAAGATTGAATTCGAAAGAGGATTCAGATTTCTAAACCGGATAAAGGGGAGAAGGGTAGTCTTTTCCTGGTTGATGTGGAACATCATAGTCAGCATCACCATGCTACACACCGCCATAGAGCGATAGAGTCATTGCCACTACCGCCAGCATTGCCCACCACTATGTGTGTTGTTTTGGGAGGGGCACCTCCACTCGACATCGAAATCAGGGTAGGGGAACCTCTGCTCGTAGTTGCGGAGGGGAGACGGCATTGCGAGAGAGACAGTGTGGTAGAATGCAGCTAAAGGGAGAAGGTCAAGTAAGGCCCAGTTCGTTTCAGCTTTTGATTCTCTAGGATCTGCTTCTGGGAAACTACCCTCAGAATAGCTTGTCGAGTTCTTTTCTGAGATTGTAGTCAAAGATTCTAGGATGAGTTGAGTGTTGAATGTCTGTATTGTCTATGAAGTAGTTGTGTTCTGAATTGCTAACACGTAGTTCTTCAGTTTCTCATAGAATATGAGCGCTAAAAAGATTTACAATACAAGTATCATCGTGTGAAATACTATAATTAGAATGGTTGTAAAGTTTTGCTTCGTTATAGTATGGGTCAAGTACAAATAGAAGTAATAATCTCAAGGTATGATACTGACAGCAATTGCCTCACGTTTTGCACCCATGGTACGATCATCTTCTGATGGTAGAGCGTTGGCACCTGTGGACGATAATGGAGGTTGCACTGCACTGTCCTAGTTTGCTTTGGGTCCCTCGGCTTTCTCCACTTTCTCCATCTACAACATCTATCCATTAGCACATACATAGATCCAGCTATTTACCAAGCAGCAGCTGAAGGGAACCAAACATATGCACCATATTCATCCATCCAGGAAGCTAGTAGCAAAAAAATAAACATATGCACCGTTGAGCCATCCATCTTGCAAGCTACTACCATTGACAGTAGCAAAAAAATATGCACCATTCATCAGCAAGCAAGCTACTAGCAAAAAAAAATCAGCATATGCACCATTCATTATCCAGCAAGCAAGCTAGTACCAAACTACCAATGACAGCGGCAAAAAAAATGCAACATTCATCTATCCATGCTAGCAAGCTACTAGACAGTAGCAAAACTAAAATATGCACCATTCATCCATCCATCTAGCAAATCTCTGGCAACATTCATCCATCTATCCATTAGCAACACATCCATGCCATTCATCCATCCATTATACAGAGGAGACATAGAGATGAGAAGGTAAAGAAGCTCATGAGCGAGATGCGAGGAGGGATGGGATGTCCTCGGGCGACATCATCCGGTGGTGAGGGCGGCAAGGCCGGGCTGGAGTTGTGCAGGCTGAGGCCACCCAAAAAGTCACACCACAACGGGGTTGGTGGGCCGGACTAAAGCAGTGATAGCTTCATAGCTATGGCTAGATGGTGGCCGTACCGGCTATGAAATGGTAGAAGAGGCATCCAGGACGCCCTGAAACAGGGGATTAGGCAAGCATAAGGAATAAAGTGCTGAATATGCTTCCCAGATCTAGACACGCCTTAATTATAATTCATTTTTGGGGGTCTGAAACAGATCTTGTCAGCAAGACAAGATGATATTCCCTGTTCTTTGAGATAGTATTGAGTAATGCTGCTGCAAGTGTGCCCCATATTAATGTTCATGTTGTTCAGAAGCGATGTCCAATCGCCCCATGCATGAACCTGCAAATAAGATTGCAGATGTACCTGCGGCAGGTAGAATCCATGCTGCTCCTGGTTGTGAGCATAGACAGATCCAAAAATTGTTGCTTAGAGACTACGCACTTGAGTGAGATCTCTCAGAAGCTAGAACCGTGAGATCCAAATCCACTTGCGGGATTCAAACATAGAAACTCCCGAGCTACTTGATAACAAAATTGACAGTAATAATAATTAAAGAATGATTTATAGCTCCGGTGTCAGAACCAAAAACGATCCGAATAAATAAAAAAATATATATACTAACATGTTGGGGAAGGAGCATCTAGATTAATTTACTCTTCCTGGGATCTCTTGGATCCAACAACATGGTGTGTATGGAAAAGATTCGATCTCCCGAGCTTCATTAGCAAGGCCAGAGTCGAAATATTTGTGACAACTTGGGTATATGCTTCCTAAACTTTCAATCTTGAAGCTATTCAAATGATAGGCGAACGCCATTGCTTTTAGTTTGAAGGTCTCTGACCTACTCAAAAAGAGAATCTCTTTGTATGGGTGAAATCCAAGTATCTCGATTTCAAAATATGGACGGCGACGGTGCACTTCAACCTTGTCTTCATTCTCAGGGAAATCATCATCGTCGGAGTTCCATTCAAATTTCTCCTGGATTACTTCTTCCTTGTTGATATTTGGAAGATGAGAACGAAAGATTCCATAGTTAATGTCTTCTAAGATCCAGGGTCCATGAACTTGGCCATCAAACATTTGGATGGGCTTAAGGTCGTAGTCGTGCTTTAATATCCACTCTAACTGATTAGATGATTCATTCAGGATGCAAACCCGAATGTGATTCTTAACAAATGACGCAAAGTATACTCCTTTCTCCGATAATCCTATATAATTGGTATCTCCAACACCCATTGGTGCCTTAATCGCACTGTACTTATCTTCAGACAAAGATATCCTGCAAAATCAAATGGTTGGCAAGAAATTTTCGAAATTCAGAGTACTGTAGTATGCTGTCAGTATGATAAAAATGAACACTAAAATCAAATTATTCATGAACCAGTCCAGGTATGTACCTCATAATAAAATCACCTTGACAATGCACGTAAAGGTATCCACGCCAATAGACCGAGTTTTGTTGGCCCTCAAAGAACACACGCGCCTTTGCAACTGTTCCTGCAGCATCCCCTTGTCGAACAAACAGCCTCTCCTCCCAACAGCCTCTCCTTGAAGAGAATACATGCAAGATATATGAAGATGGAGGCCATTCGGATGTCTCCTCTAAAGGATCAGTCTCATCTTTACCCCGACACAAATAAGGGACCTCAAACACCTGGTAGTGGGATGACACCTTGGGATCAAATGCCAGATAACAATCATGTAATAAAATACCACGGACTATTCCCCCGTCCGTAGTATGATTGTGCGGGCACGAGGGCAGAGCGTTCCAGCATCGGGTGGCCGGGTTAACCACGTAATCGTCGAGCAAGAGGAGTCCATTGCAGTGATTCTGGATGTAGTAGTCGCCGTCCAAGCTGTACGGCCTCCACCCACCGGAGCTCACTTTAATGGGTGTGGGTAGGAAATCGAGCTTGCCACTGATTGCTCGCCGACCCAGGCGCGACAAGGGGCGGGCGAAGAACTCGGGCAAACAGAGCTCCGCGAAGGTGATGAAGAACCCGCTAAACGGGAGGTCTGTGCGCAGGAGGCCCTCGCCGTCGATGATGGCTCGCCACGCCTTGCAGACGCAGCGCGATATGGCGAGCCAGCGCGGCTCCGCCACGCGACGGAGCACGTCGGCGAGCACGTCCTCCGGCAGGAGCGCTGCCAGGTCGCCATGGTCCGCCTGCTCCATCTGGCTCTGTATGCTCTGTATATCCGATTACTTCCTTTGGGCGGCGCACACACGTGCACACCAGGTATATATATCTCAGCAGTCAGCATCAGGGAGTCCGATCGAATAAGGAAACCTAGACGGACACGGATACAACAAGGCTATCGTAACATAACACTTTACGTGATGTCCTTGGCTGAGCTGGGCTATACATACGTCTCCTCGTTACTTTAACTTTCGTGCATAAAATCAGGGAGCTTATTTGCTATTCCTATCATCCTATGTACGGATCTTACAAAAAAGTTAACGTACTAGATCAATCTGAAAGCGGTTAGCTAAAGTTGACCGTAGAAATAGGATTTTTGTAACGGTTTTGTTAAAGCACATATAGGTGTGCCCTAAGTATTGCACATCTAAGTCCCATGTCATTAATTTTATGTGAAGGATTCGTGCGGTTTTTTTTCTTTTTTCTTTCATATTTGATTTCGTCACTTAGATGACATTGGTGGTGACGTCAACGCGAGCTCCACGCCTCCGACCTCCACGGCACGCGGCGGCATCCCCGCGAGACGCCTGCGGGGTCCCGCTTGATGCTGTTGACGTTGGTGGCGTCCTCCTTGCGAGCTCCACGCCATGATCCTCCGCCGTACCGGGTTGATGATGTTGACGATGGGCGTCGTCTTGGCGAGCTCCGCTCCGCCATCCACCGCGGCATGGCAGCGGAATCCTTGCGAGCTCCACGTCTCCGGCTTCCATGCACCGGCTTGGTGATGTTGGCGTTGGTGTTATCTTGGCGAGCTCCGCGCCGCCGTCCACCGCGCCACGGTGGCGGCATCGTTGGGAGCCCCACGCCTCCAGGCTCCGCTCGACATCGAAATCAGGGTAGGGGAACCTTTGCTCGTAGTTGCGGAGCGGAGACGGCATTGCGAGAGAGACAGTGTGGTAGAATGCAGCTAAGGGGAGAAGGTCAAGTAAGGCCCAGTTCGTTTCAGCTTTTGATTCTCTAGGATCTGCTTCTGGGAAACTACCCACAGAATAGCCTGTCGAGTTCTTTTCTGAGATTGTAGTCAAAGATTCTAGGATGAGTTGAGTGTTGAATGTCTGTATTGTCTCTGAAGGAGTTATTTACGCAAAACCACCACACTTGAGGCTAGGGTAACAACTTGATACCATATTTGTGTCAGGGCACAAAAAACCACCAACTCTACGTCTAATCTATAACAGAGAGCATTGATTGTCTGATAAGCTCGTAAAAACAGTGAAATTGACAAGTTGCCCCACCTGTCGGGCTGATGTGGCGAAGACTAATTTTTTTGACTAGCTAGCGTGGCAAATTAGACGTGGGGCTCACCTGTCAATGACTAGGTGGTCATCTTCTTCACGTGTGTCTTTCAACGAGGCATTTCATCGAACAACTTCTGGGCGTGAATCCCTTTCCTCTGGGTACAGAGTGTGGGCAGCGGTAGCTTGTACGCCTCTCCATGGACCGCCGTCAGGGTAGGCGTCGAGCAGCCATGGATGCTCATAGCTCCTCTCTCCGCCGCGTGCCGAGCTCGGCCGCGAGCATGCCGCTCCGTTGCCGTGGGTCTGTCCGCTCCATTGCCGTGGGTCTGTCGTTCCACGCACATAGTCTGCGTGCCGGTGGAGCTAGCACCGCCCAGCTCCCCGCTAATTGTGGCTGCCTGATACCACCGAGCACGCACACACCAACGTGGTGGCAGTGGCCAGAGCATCACGACGTGGTGCGCGGTGACCAGGTGAGGCCGCACGCTGACTAGCGAATAGCGAAGGCCAGCGGCACCGCGTGGCCAGTGGGGCCGAGGCGCGGAAGCTGCTCGTTGGTGGCCACGACGTGTCTGCGCCCGGCAATAGAGGGCAGGGCCTGTATGCGAAGACTACACAGGACGTGCATGACTAGTGAGGCCAATTTCGGCGAGCTCGCCCGCCGTTCTTGTTCATGGCTAGACCCTCCCGCCCCTTTCTCTAATTATGTGTGCCTAGGACCTCCTCTCACATCCTCAGTGCTCTACACCGTTCAATTTTGCAGGGGGAGGCCGAGGGGAGAACCCCTCTTTTCTTGTTGCCGGTCGTCCGCCCAGCAGGACGATGCTTTCCCTCGCCTGCTCGCGTCTGAAGACAGGACGTTCACGGCAGGGTAGGCGTTGATGCCATCGCTGGAGCTCAGCTCTTTGGTGTGTCCTCTGTGCGGGAGGTGGACTGCAAGGGCAAGCACGAGGAAGCACGTCACCGCTCTTCATGCTCAGTAATTTCTGCCAAGTCTGTGAACTGTTATTATCTGCAATCTTGCCATGTCCTTTTGAGCATGTTATAGTGTCTTCTGGAGATAGCTCAGTGTTCATATTTTGTCTTGCTTTACCTGTACATCATGTCCAGTGTTTGGTCCATGTGGGCATTGCGAGGCTGTTTTGGTGTTGTGGATCTGCTGCGGGAAGGTAGCAATTTCTTCTCTTCCTCTTTTAGTTCCTTTCTATGTTGATTATTCCAT